TGTGCGGCGAGTGCTTCTGACGTGGTCGTAATTACAAAATTCGGTGCGTCCCCTAAGCGGACTCCGTCAAGTCGATGACACGCGGCCCCCGCCTAGCTGGAGGCATGGCCCAGTAAAGTATAAAAAGCTGCGGAAATATTTTTGCATTTTATGCTCCCAGCCCCGCGGGCCACGCCATCATGAGGCGGATGATGTGAGATGTGGATGGCCATTGCAGCTAACCATAAATAGCGGTTATCGGAAATGGGAACGGGGCTAAGTCCCCACCCCCGCCTATCCCGTGCTCTCGATTCGTGCAACACATACAAATGTGGCGCATTTATTTTAATCCTTGGCCAGGAAGGACGGGCTCCGGGCAGGATGTGATGGAGTGGGGGCCACGGGGCCGGATTAGTAATCGGCATTGGTATCCCGGGAGGGGCAGGAGATGGAGTCGGAGCAGGAACTGGAACCGAAGCCAGAAGCGCCCGGGGAGCAACAACGTTGCGGAATCATAACTCTTTCATTTGGCAATATCTGCACATTTTTTCCATGCTGAGAGCCCATCTTGGCCGCCCATTGGCCCTCCCACTCGATCCTGGCCTCGTAAAAAGTGCGCCGAGATTGGCATTTGGCTTTCGTTGCCAATATCTTTCGCGTCCTTCGTAGCACGCCCCTTGCCCCACTCCGTCCATGGCTGCCCTTGCCAAGGCATTCATCAAATTCAAGTCATGTTATCGCAGAAAATGAAACAAATTTTTGCAATTTGATTGCTTTTCGTGTCGATGGCATGGGCACAGGCACTGAGAGAAAAGGCCAAGGCTTGGGTTATGGATATTTCATTCCACAAGGGGTTTCTGCTTCTGAAACTTGGCATGGCAGTACTAGATACACTTTAATAGTGAGAAAGTATGAGAAAGAGCTCGAATCTCATTTGAATTTCTTCATATGTACGCGGAAACCACCCACGTATTAAATATGCATGCCTATGAGATGGGTCGAGATTTCTGGCGTTATGAACTCGCTCTGCTTTTGCTTATTCGAAATTTTTCACATTTTCTACGTGCCCAAGAAAATGAAGGGCCGCCCAGGATGGGCCGTGGAACAGGTGAAGGATATCGGCTGATTATTATCTTCCTGGGCCCCGATTTACATGCCCGGTTTACAAGGGGACCGACTGCACCCGGCCGTATATCATTGCTGGCGGGCGTGGCTGCTTTTGTTGTTTGTATTTCAAAAGTTAATTTCGTACTTTATCATCGACGGAGCAGCAGCTCAGTCAGCGTGTGGGAAATGAAACTTTTCAGCGGAAGCGGAAACTGTACCCGGTACACGGCACCCTCCGCCGATCCGGGCCCAGTGCCTGGCCAACTTTTTGCCAAGGGTGTGAATAAAGTAAAACAAGTAAAAAGGATTCTCCTGCGGCTGATGCTGCCTTTCTTTGGCAACAATTGCATTGCGGTAAACAATATTTCTGTTATCTCTGCAGCGAACAGGACAGGCCAGGAAAGGACGAAGGGGCTGGGCGAGGGGCTTCCCCCGGGTGGTATACTTTACAGCTTCGTTTCCGTGCCATTTTTACTGTTGGCTGAAAGGCAGCCAAGTGTTCAATGCACAACTTTTAGCGCAATTGTTAAAAGAATTAAAAGGCAGGCAGGGCGACGCAGCAGCACAGCAGAGCAGCAAGACAAAAGCCAGATATGATAACACCCAGATGGGTGGCAGGGGAGCAGTGCCAAGCTTCGGCTTTGGTGGCAAAACAAAAGGAGTGGCGAAAGCGGAGCGGACAGGAACCGGAAGCGAGCTGCCATAGACTCCGGTTAGAGAGTACAGATACATGCGAGAGAAATGTGCCGTGACGTGGCAAATGTAATGGAAAATGGTCACAGATCCTCTGTCCCTCCTCCTACCGCCACAAAGTGTTATAGTGCCTGGCCTGTCCTGTCCTGGAAAACAACTATGGCAACCATACCAGAGGCGCTTATTTTTATGCAGCGTGCCAATGTGAAATGCCGTAGAAAAAACGACACTAGTCCTGGCATAAGAGCTATTTATATGTTTATTCTCCTCGAGCCCTGGCTATAATTTCAGTGCCAAGTGCGTAACATCCCCCCCAAATGGGTGGGGGGACCACCGACTACCGACTACGGACTACGGACTGTGAACTAACAAGCGACGTTTATTGCCATAAAAGTTTACGACAAAAACTCATTTCCGTCACCAGAGCATAGCGATAAATGCAAAGAGAGTAGGGGCAAGTGCACAGTGAGAAATCCTTGGTAATAACTAGAAATAAAATACATAAATATAATTCCATATAGTCAGATAGATAGTGATTAAAGTTAAAGTTTAAACTATAATCTCATTATTTAACACCCTTAAACTTTTAAACCTAAATGGCCTAGTTTTTTCCAAAGAAAAAATGGATATTCTTGGAGACTTTTGGCACTCTGCTACACATGTCGCCAAAGACGCATCCGGTCCGGAAGTGGAGCACTCAGCAGCACCGGAAGCCCAACAACTTGAGCCATTTGTCAGCTGGTGGCACTTGGCTCCGGGCCTCCGCGTCCTCGTGGCATGCAAATTCCAAAAGGGGAGGGGAAGCTGGACGGGATCTCATAGACATATAAAAATGCTAAAATAATAATAATAATTCGGTTGACATAGCCTGCCAAAAGGCGCCAAGAAGCAATTTAATTATGCAGATAGTCTTCACGGGAATTACCTGGCCAGGCGCAGGACCAGGAGCAGTGGAGGGAGCAGGAGCCAATGCTCATTAGTGTCAATCTATTTAGCATAAATTTCAATTAAAGCAATATCCTGCAGCCCGGACACGGCGACTCGGCAAGAAGCTGACTCCGGAATACTTTCTTAGAAAAATGCGCCCCGGCAAGGCATAAAGAGTGAGGTGGGCTTGGAGAAAAATGAAGGATGCAAAATTATGGCACCCGCTGTTGTCATCCTGCCGTCCGTTCCCACACAGCCGCGGCCCACGCTTTTGGCTTCCCAGCCGCCTTGGCTTCATATTTCCGACAGACTCATTAAAATGCAAAATGAGAGCAACGTATATTGGAAACCCACGGAGGAAAATTCCAGCCTGGCACAGCCTCTGGGCCAGGGCTGGCAAGGACCTCTGGCCGGTAAAAGGCAATCATTGGCGAAGGGAACTTACCAATCCACATCCAAATCCCGAGTAAGAAATGTTCTTTTCACCCGGCAATAGGACGAAGGATTAGATACTCTTGTATATAATACCCTATAATTTAAAAAAACCAACTGAAAAGTTGGAGAAAAGGTCATAGTTCATAGATCCATTTCATACCTTCCTTTAATTATTAAATATTAACAGTTTAGTTACCTTAAGTCTCCCAATAAAGCCATTGCTCCTTTCGGACGAAAGGCAAACTGGGACAAATCATAAAACCCGGCGGAATGGTTCAGCAACCGCCATAAGCCTCCGAATCAGACACAGATACCAAGGCTTAAACGCAGCCGAGTCTCCCGTTATGAGCATGTTGCAATATTTCCGCACAGCTTACGTGCCACAACCACACCCGGGACATGGATGCGAGCGAGCAGGATGCCAGAGGAGCGCTTAGAAACTGACAGTTTTGTAAATATGTGCGCAGAGGTTTTCGCCCAATCCCCCAGAACACAGCCCCACTCTCCTCCGACTACCGCAATCCTTGAGAAATTCCCCGCAAGCGGAAGGAAACAGTTAATACTTCTGTCTGTTATGCGCTTACTTCCTGTCTCCATTAAAAGTCATTCTTTTGGATAATCCTTTTGGCAACATTATGGCTAGTATTAAAACTTTTTTGCACTACTAGACAGACATTCCTATGCCCCGGTCCAGCCCCTCTGCCTTATTACCTAGGGAAAGTTTGCAGATTCTTTTGCTGTTGTGGCCGGGATCTGGATTTGTTGGATTCTGTGTTGTGTGTTTTTCTGTTTCGTGAGCCAGGACTCAGGACTCCGGTTTGGTGTTTGCCCGGATCCTGGCTCGCCGGCTCCAGGCATTCCAGTCATACGTGTTTCGGGGTTTTGCCTCCGCATGATGACCATAAATATTTTCCGTAATAGAAAATGCTTTGCCAGAGATGGCCGGCGCCTTGGCCATGGATTCCCTGGCTTCTTGTTCCTGGCCCCCCTCGGATTGCGGGCAAAGTTTTAATCGAAAAAAGGCAACGCGAAATCTCCCTGGTAATGGGAGCTTCCCCCGGCCATTCAATCCGAAATAGTGGCTGCGCCCCGGTCGGGGCATTTATCATCATCATCAGCAGCAGTTTGCTCGCAGGCATATTGAATATTCGGATTTCCACGCCCAGCCCCCTCCACTCCGCCCCTTTCCGCTTTCCGCAAATGAATATTAACGGTTTAGTCGGGGTGGGACTTATTCAAATTTCGACAAAAGGTGCCGGGCTAAAACACAAAACGTGTTCGGCATCGACAAAATCCTTTGAGCAAACGGAGGCAAAGGCTAAAATGGCTAAAATGACACCAGCGGCCATATTGTTACTTCCATGTTGTGTGTGTTTTCCCCCGGCCGTTCTCCACCTGCCTCCTCCTCCTGTTCAGCCATTAAGACTACGCTTGGCTGAATACCGAATGCTCCCTTTATGCAAATCCCCAAAAAACTGATGGCTGCGAGGCCTTTCGTCCTGTCGTCTTCCTGTTGCCATGAAAAATTGACACCTCATCGCTTTTCAATGGAGCACCTGGAACCTCCGTTCGGGGGTGAACCACTGTGGCCGATTGAACCGTGTCCGGCTTTAATGGGGTTCTGTCCCCAGGGAGCTAATCGCCGGGTCTTGAGGGACCTGTTGTCCCAAAAAAGTGGTCTTAAAGTCTTTTCATTTCAATGTTATTTGTGAAGAAATCGAATTCTGGTGATTATAGATTGCGTTTTTATGAACTGACAGCTGGCAGAGCTTTTCCACGCAGCTGATCTGGCTTTTCCAATTCTCCACATCGATCTCCAAGCGACCAGGAACCGAAAGCTTTCCCAGTCGCCGTGGAAGCGCCGGAGCGGGTGCTCACATGAACGATTTTTTATTTCGGAAGTGGTTTTTTTGTGAAATTTCCAGAACTGCTGGAATGTGGAACCGCATTCTCCTGCTGTCCTGCTGCATTTGGAGTGCATTCCTTGTGCGGCATAGTCAGGGCCAACAAATCAACATTGGTAAGAATTCAGAGAAATAAGGTTCACTCGCTGGTTAACCTCCATCGCCCTGCAGGTGCCTTCTTCTACGACGATGAGCTGGAGCTGGAGAAGGAGTTCATGCAGGTGGTCGAGGCCCTCAACGGACCGGAGTCGGAGCAGACGATGCGCTTCTTTCCGGTGGTGAAGCGCCTGAAGTCGGACGACAGCAGTGTGGCCATTCAGGAGCAGGGTAGGTGGTCCCAGTCCCCGCCAGACTACCATTAACTTTTCAATGAATTTCAGCCTGCGATCTGGTGGATAATGGTGTCGCGGCTATTTTCGGACCAAGTGCCAAGGCGGCGAGTGGTAAGCGGGCGGCGGGTGGCGGGCTATGCGTCTTCTGACGGCACTCTGTGTAGAACAAGAAATCAAAATAGAACGCAAAGAAAGCTTCCGGAAGAAGACGCATAGCAAAGAAGAAATCGCGGAGAACTTTTGTTTGTCAACAGAGCGTATGAGCGATGGGTGCCTCTCTTTGCTTTCAGATATTGTGGCCGTGGTCTGCAACAGCACCGGCATCCCCCACCTAGAGTTCGACGTGGCCGACGAGGAGCACCTTGAGGAGAAGCCCAACCATCAGATGACCATCAACCTCTACCCCTCCCAGGTGATCCTGTCCAAGGCCTATGCGGACATTGTTCAGAACTTTGGGTGGCGCAAGTTCACCATCGTCTATGATGCCACCGATGGTGAGTATGGACTTGGTGTCCTCTTGGAATAGAACTTCTGATTGATTGTCCTTTTGCAGCAAAAGCCGCTGCCCGTCTGCAGGACCTCCTGCAGCTGCGGGAACTACATAATGACGTGGTGCGCGTCAGGAAGTTCCAGAAGGACGAGGACTACCGCGTCATGTGGAAGAGTATTCGGGGCGAGAGGCGTGTGGTGCTGGACTGTCCTCCTGACATGCTCCTGGATGTCCTGAATGCCTCCACGGAGTTTGGCCAAACTGGATTGTACAACGTGAGTTCTATTCTGATAGTCAGAAGGTACAATTGTTATCCTGGGGTGTCCTTTCCAGCACATATTCCTAACCAATCTGGAGACCTATACTGATAATATTGGGGAACTGGCCGCAGACAACGAGACCTTTGGCGTAAACATAACAGCCGCTCGTCTCCTCCTGAATCCCAACCCCCCAGCCGTGAGTAGCTCGTCTTATCACAGAGTGGAATCACACATGACAAATATTATTGAGTAGTACTCCCAGCCCTATGGCTACGTCATCCAGAGGAACGACATGGTGGTCGAGAGCAACGAGCCGTCTCGCACCCTGCACCACGACCTCGTCCACGATGCCCTGCAGCTCTTTGTGCAGTCATGGCGCAACGCCAGCTTCTTCTACCCTGACCGGATGCAGGTGCCGAGAATAACCTGCGACTTTGCCGCCTCCGGAGGTCGCACCTGGCCCATGGGACGCTATCTCACACGCCTCATGAAAGGGGTAAGCCCACACACCACACCCATTCCCCACTCCCCAGTACCCTGTACTAATCTCCGAGGTGTTGCAGACTTCCGGCGTGAATAGCACAAACTTCCGGACAAGCAGCCTGCAGTTCGACGAGGACGGGCAGCGGATAACCTTCAACATCGAGGTGTACGACCCGCTGGATGGGGTCGGCCTCGCCGTGTGGGATCCTAGGGGGCAAATAACGCAGCTAAACGTCGAGTCCAAGGTCCAGAAGAAGATGATTTACCGAGTAGCCACCAGAATAGGACCGCCGTACTTTGACTACAACCAGACTGCCGTGGAGCTGAACCTCACCGGCAACGCTCTCTACCAGGGCTACGCCGTGGACCTCATCGACGCCATTTCCCAGGAGGTGGGCTTCGAGTACGTGTTCGTCCCCGTGGCGGACCAGCAGTACGGCAAGCAGGACAAGGACACCAAGCAGTGGAATGGCATAATCGGTGAAATAATAAATAATGTGAGTACAATTGTCCCTTTTGCTGGTGAAGACTCTTCCAAGGATGAAGTCTTCTCAAGGAACACCTTTAAAGATTTGTGAATCAATTTTCCATCTATCTGCATTCAAATCTCCAAGAAATTTTTATTTCAATTTTTATCAGTTTTTCTTTATATAAATTTAATTTTCTATGATTTGATGATCATGACCCACAATCATGATCTAGGTGATATTTTTGAGCGAAAAATAAATAAAAATCAAACGCAATGTTATTCATGAGTTTTATTTTTCGCTCAGAGAATAATGATTATTTCTGATTTATATTTTGTCTCTCAGTTTTAAGCTATCGTCTTGAAAAATTACACACGCTATTCTTTCCTTTGCACGCAGTATATATGTCGAAACGGCCGGGATCGGCCTACTATATTTTATAGCTGCCACATAACTGATGGCAGAATGGTGGGAAATCAATCCAGAAATCGTTTCAGGTACTCCGCTTGAGAATCGGATAAGAATTGGGGAAGATATAGCCATCACTGTGGGCCATATAGGAGAATATAGTCTATGGCTGCCATACATATAACTGAACTATCGGAAATTATCCTACTTTCGTGTTTTTGAAGATAGAATTTTGTCATATGGTCATATTCGGCCTATTTTGGATTCTATATCCTATTAGTGCCATATAACTGAACAATCGGAAAAAGTATTTGGAGTTTGGTAAAAATACCAACTTTAGTATTTATGAAGATATAAGCGTGGGACTTAATTTTTAAGTTTTGTATTTAAATAATTTGTTTCATAAGAAAATTCGAATAAGTTTTGGGACCCTACTATATGAGGACCCTCTCATTTATGCGATTCTTAAGTGAAATACCTCAAGTGGTTTCAAATCAATCCACCAATAATGTTTCGATTATTCCAGGATGCCCATATGGGAATTTGTGACTTGACAATTACTCAGGCTCGTAAGACGGCCGTGGACTTCACGGTGCCCTTCATGCAACTGGGAGTCAGTATCCTGGCCTTCAAGAGCGAGCACACAGAGAAGGAGCTAACGGCGTTCCTGATGCCCTTCGGCGATGAAGTGTGGATCTGGATTCTGATTTCGTTGTTCGTGGTGACCTTTTTGAAGACGATAGTGGCGCGGATTGCCCAGATGGACTGGGAGAACCCGCATCCGTGCAACCCCGACCCGGAAGTGCTGGAGAACATGTGGCATATCCACAACACCGGCTGGCTGTCAGTGGCTTCCATAATGACGGCAGGATGCGATATTCTGCCGAAGAGTCCCCAGGTGCGGCTGTTCGAGGCCACGTGGTGGGTGTTCGCTATCATCATCGCCAACTCGTACACGGCAAACTTGGCCGCCTTCTTGACCAACTCCAAGATGGAGGGCAGCATCGGCAGCCTGAAGGACCTGAGCGGGCAGAAGAAGGTCAAGTTCGGCACCATATACGGCGGCAGTACGTACAACCTCCTGGCGGAGTCGAACGAGACCGTCTATCGCCTGGCCTTCACCCAGATGAACAACGACGACCCCTCCGCCTACACCAAGGACAACGGCGAGGGCGTCCACAGAGTGCAGCGCAACAGGGGCAATTATATGTTCCTCATGGAGACGACCACGCTGGAGTACCACAAGGAGCTGCACTGCAACCTGCGCTCCGTGGGCGAGAAGTTCGGGGAGAAGCACTACGCCATAGCCGTGCCCTTTGGGGCCGAGTACCGGTCCAGCTTGAGCGAGGCCATCCTGAAGCTGAGCGAGCGGGGCAAGCTGTACGACTTCAAGCAGAGGTGGTGGAAGAACAACAAAGGGGAGAAGTGCGAGGAGGAGGTGGACCCCAGCGCCACGCCGGACATGAACTTTGAGGAGCTACGCGGCATCTTCTATACGCTATATGTGGGCATTCTCATAGCCTTTCTCATTGGAATCATAGAGTTTCTGGTCTATGTACAGCAAGTGGCTCTGGAGGAGCGGGTGAGTGGCGTGGCAGGATATTTTAAAGGATAAATGGTCCAATTTTGGTGTCTTCCAGCTCACCATAAAGGAGGCCTTTGTTAAGAAGATCATGTTCGTCATATGTGTGTGGAACAAGAAGAAGCCCATCGCGGCGGGATCGCCCGTTTCCAGCCTGCGGACTACTCCCCGTCGGTCCCTGGACAAGTCCTTGGAGCGGACTCCGAAGTCTGGGCGGCGAATCGTCCTGGGTCGTTCCTCGGAGGAGATGCGGGAAATGCCGCAAAGTTCTGGCTCCCGATCTGGGTCCTCCTCAGCGGGCAAGGAAAAGGGGCAGAAGGAGGCTCGTCTTTAAAGATTACAGATTGATTTTCCAGATCAGGTTTATAATCCTTAATAAAGGGAGAGAAGGGTTTCATTATCCTCTCAAGTTGCCGGCTAAGAAAACTACGGCCATCATTCGTGGGATAATCAATTTGGAGCTCCTTTGAGCTTGAAATTACTCGGTGAGCCGAGGATGGGGGACACAGTCCTTTCCAGGCCCCGTAGGGCATCGCGAGATGTCGATGCTGAAAGTTAGTACACACTTCGCTGACTGCTGCAGCCAGGACTCTGGCTCCTGCAGGACTCGAGTTGCTGCGAGGCTGTCTCAGCTTGTCAATTGCGTTATTGGAGCTTATTGACATTTTATATCCGGCAATTGACGAACCTTTCTCCCCATCGCGAAAATTATTTAAGCCGCTGCAGGCGAGGACCAGAACGAAGGACCAGGACCAAGACCAAGGAGCTGGGTTCTGTGGGTCGCCTGTGGCCTTTGTTGGTTTGTGTAAAATGAGCAGCAATGAGAAGACCACCAGCGGAAGGACAACAAGCCGAATGATGGCAACTGACAGTGATGCACTGCGAGAAGAGGGAGCTTGCCTTTTGGAAAACTACGAATGGGGGCTTTAGTGTGTTTTTTCGAGTGCCGGACAGATCGCATTGCATTCCATTCCGTGGCAAGTGTCATTTGCTAGTTGTTTGTTTGTCGCCGTCGCTACTCCTCCGCCCTGTGTGTTCAATTTTTAATTATTTTGTAGTGAAGTGGCTTCAGCTTCGACTGCCAGCTACGTGAGCCATTCGAGAAGTTGACAACCGGATGGAGATGGAGATAGAGATGGAGGGGTGGCTGATGACAGAGCAGGGTTGTGGGTGAGCCAACAGAGCCGCTGAATTGCTCCGTCTGCTGCCAAAATCCAACACACTTGTTGCCGCTGCTGACTTGCGCAGTAAGGATTCGGGACGGCGAAGCCACCACCGATGGCCAATGGCTGAGGCCGGGCGACAAAGCGACAAGTTCCACGCGGTCCACAGGAGGCAGGACGCACCCCCAAGGACGCGGCGGCCGAAGGACGAGTCTTATACTCACGCCGGCGGTGTGTCATTTGTTAATGCCACGCACGTAAGCAATTTCCGCACGAAAGCGCATTCTTTGAGCCTTTAATGTACTTTTTGATGTTAACAAATTTTTCGAACATTTGTTGTTGACTGAAGGGGTGCAGGGGGCCGGGCCGCCGACAGATTCATGAACTGAATCCTAAGTTGAGCCTTAGTCCGGGTTGATTTGCGGTTTCAACTGGGGTCCCCGAGCCGCCGCCGATTGGGTGTGAGTGATTAGAGTCGCATAAACAAATTAATAAGAAGACTTCAATCCGGAATTGCGAATCCGGAAATACACTCTTGAGGCCGCCGCCCGGGAAATCCAATCAGGTGGCAACTTCGAGTGCAATCAACACCTCGGTGGGAATAAATTGCGCAATTTTCCACTCGGAAAGATTTATGACCTGCAGTCGGGACCGTCGAGGTGTGAACTGCGGCCAGACGGAAGTTGGAAAAGCTGCCAAGTCTACGGGCAATCGTTTGACCCCTTTGCGAACAAATTGGCGGACAGACACACATGAACTCGCCCATAGACGGGCTTCATGGGCTTCGGCCTGGCACTCACTTTGTGGCCGCCATTTCTTCACAAAGTCTAGAGCGTAAAACGGCCACAAGGTGGGCTTCCCCCACCTCTATTACCCGGCATAAATCGCCTCGGATGTCGGACTAAATTGTAAGCGAAATGGCTGGCAACATTTTCAATTAATTCTTGGCAGGCCAATAAAGTCAGACACCTACATAGTCCTGCCAGTACATATTAGCTTTAAATTGAGAGTAATTCCAAAAAGTTTGGAGAATTAAAATCCATTAGTTCATACATTTCTACAAAGAATTAAAGCCAAAAAAGTAGAAATCGAAATATTCCCGAGTTACCTTTTTCAATTGACAGCCTCAACCAGGTCGGAGTGGCCAGGATAACCGCAGAAAGCGATTAAGCCAGACCCCCCACTCCCAAAGGGAAGCAATTGCAGAAGGAAGTTTGATCCTGGCCAGGCGGAGGGAAAAAATAAGCTCAAAGGACACGCATGTGGTGCCTTCATACCTGACATGCCGCCCACCGTCCCCCTAAGACCTGAGTACACTTTGGGTGTCCAGTGGCCAGTTTGTTGCGTGTTCTGATGAGCGGGTCCTGTCTGCAAATGCCGGGGGCCGTGTTTGTTTATTTGTCTTCCACAATGCACTTGACTGCGAGCTGGCATCTTGGCCGGTCAGGACCTGCCTGGCTTCTGTTTGTTTGCCCGGCAAGTGACCAGTTGTTTGGTCGGCCAATAAAACGCAGTTATGCAAATGAGTTCTTGGACGCATAAGTAGCATTACGCAACTGGTCATAAATTCCGGCATTTGGCGCAGAATTCAATTTTCCGTACAATTGAAGCTCTCACATTACTCAGAACGGGATTCGCGCACGATCGCTGGCTGCAGACATTTAAAAAGGAAAACAATTGCAATATTTCTTTTGGGAGTGCTGCCAGTGGGTGGGAGTGGGTGGTGTGACAATACCGAAAAACAAATAAGCCCAGACAAAGGCAGCTCTAGCTAGGAGAAAGTAGAAAGCACAGAACAGAGAGCAGCAGACGGCAAAGAACAAACAGCAGCGAACCGCAAGGCGGAAACGGAAACGCGTCACAGAATGTCGAACTGGCACTCCCAGTCGCCCTGCAAGCTCTTCCGCTTCTCATCCTCGTCCTCGTCTTGTTCCCTTGCCATCCCGCCCCCTGACTGATATGGCGCTATTAGATATTTATTTCTGCGGATGTTAGCCCGAGTGTGCTCGTGTCTGTCTGTGCGAGAGCGAGCACATATTTGCACATGTTTCGCATTTGTATTCCATGCGTTATTGAGCTGAAAATTGATGCACATTACTTACTCTATTGAATTACACATTAGCCCCCGATTGAACAGAAAAAGGCAGCTGTGCTGGAGCTGCACCGGGGAAAAAATGTTTTGATCAAGTCAGCAATATCTCCTTTTTTTCTATTTCAATTTTTATTATGGTTTTATTTTGGCTTTCTCCAAGTCCATGGTGATCGGCCAGATCTGCTGGTTCTGTTCCTCATGCTCCTCCTTTGTCTGGAGCTTTGACTTTTTCAGATCCTGCAACTTGGAATTCATTTTGTCCTGCGATTCCTGCACTTTTCCATGTTACCACCCTAAGACCATCACTGATAATTATTTCTTTAATTTATTTTTATATTCCAAGTCAAGTTTTATTTATTTTATTGTATTTATTATATTGTCAAGTCACATCTCAAAATGATCGATGTTGGAAAAAAAAATCCGTGATTTAGATGAATCGAAAACATCGATTTTTTTTTGTTTTAATCGATGTGCTTTCCACCTCTACTCTGAGATTTTCGTATAAATAGAGGGCCCTCGGACCTTCCTAGTCATTCAGTTTCGGCTCTCAAGTGAGCAACATCTTATTTGCTTTTTTTATTTTTGTTTTTTTTTTTTAAATATTTATTTTGGTAAAGAAATAAATATGTATCTTTTATATTTTTCCTGAAACTTTTTTTTATTTCTTTTACGGTTTTTTATTTTATTTCTTTATTAAGGCCATAGTGCTTCGATCCGATACACCAAAATTACAGATGGGGCAGTGATAGCCCTATCTTGCCTGAAGCTCAGACTTCTTCTTTTATTTCTTTACGATTTATTATTTTATTCTTTTAATATTATTTATTGTGGTCTCTCTGCTGCTGGGCTTTAATGTCTTGCTTAGAGCTCAGTCTTTTTCTTTTATTTCTTTTACGATTTATTATTTTATTCTTTTAATATTTATCGTGGTCTCGCCATGATTAGCTTTCTGATCTTTTGCCTGAAGCTCGGAAATTTTTTATTTCTTTTGCTGTTTATTATTATTTTTTTTATTTATTTTGGACATTAAAGATTCATCATCTCCATCAGAGCTTCGATAGCCTTTCTCGATGGTGTCATCCTCCTCCTTGGGCCTCATTCTGATCGTTAAATTTTTTTTTTTTTTAACTTAATTAATGACTGAAAGTAAAGTGATGTTGGAAAAATCATCCATATTTCAGAAACATCGTAAAACTTCGATGCATCGATTTATTTTTATTTTTATTTTGTTTTTATTTTTATAAATATGGTAAAATAAAAAGGGATTTAAAAGTTATCTTTTAACATTTAACATTAACATTTCCTCCGTTATGGACGAAGGCTTTAACGATCAGCTTTCTATAACTTCAAATGATTTTATTTGGAAAGGGGTAACAGAATTTTTTCCCAGAGTGTGTCCCGACGCTGCGGTTGCATCTCCGCCGCTCGCTGGCCAATAAATAATTTGAAAATAACAAAGTGAAACAAAGGACATGCCGCCAAAGTGCTCCACGGCAAAATCAACGTCGCCCAGGGCTTCCCTTCTACTTTCCACATACTCTTCCTACAGATGCAGCGCCATCAATATAGTACATGCCCCTGCCCCTCGTTACCCCCGCTTTGAATTATGCATGTGTGTGGGGTGTGCACTGGCCCCCTCCTCGTGGCAAAGGGACCATAAATTGTACAACTAAATACAATTTATTTCTCGTCGTCGCTGGTGACCCGTGTATTTTATACGTGGCCTCTGACCCCCCGCTGGCTCAATGGCAGTGTTATTTATGCACCACCCTTGGCATTTTGTTCCCAGCTTGCTGCCCGTCGAGCATTCGATGCAATATTTACGCGCTTTTAAATAGTTTCCAGTTTGGAGTGGCTGCTCTGCCTGCGATTGTCCTTCCGACTTCAGCTCTGCAAGGAGCCAGGAAACAGAAGTTAAAAGCGATTAACAGACATTACTGTTATGTGAAAAGGATTTTTCAAAATTAAAGCTTGTCTCAAGAATTCCATAGATAAAAAAATAGGATCCATAGAAAGTATAGTCTGTAGAAAGTTGTCAAAATGATTAAACAAGTTTATTTAAAGCCCTAAGTAGGCCTTGAAAAATCGTATACCCCACGATTTGTGTTAATATTTTTCAGTTGCCGTCTGCCCACCCAAGGGATCGGGTCGCTACTTATTTTATTTAAATTTTTTATTTTGGTCTATTTGTTTTTTGTTATTCTTAAGTTTTTATTTTAATTTGGTCATTACTTTTGAAATTTTATATTTGCTCAATCCGTGGTCCTTTGCTAGCTCTCGTTGTAGTCTTCTGTCGTCGACAGGCCCTTCTGTTGTAATGAGAACCATTCCATACAAAATAGTTTTTTTTTTTTTTTTTTAATTCGAGTACGAATCTAGTGGATCAGAATTTTAAATTATTTTTTAAATATCAGAAGATTGAAGCGAACAAACATCCGTGATTTGAAAATTTCGAAAAACATCGATGTGGGTGGCAGCTAGGGTTGTGAAAATATTTAAAAAATATCGTATCGATGATATATCAAATTTTTAAAAAATATTTAATTTGATAAAATATTTATCACCCGAAAAAATCGATATATCGAGTATTTTTGATATTTTTTTTAAAACCATTTTTTTTATTTTTAAATCCCCAAAATAAATTTTTTGTTTTCATTTTGTTTTTTTTTTTATTAAACTAAACTATAAAAAATTAAGTGCTTCTTTTGCATTTGATGGCGGAGGCCAGCCTCTCCGACGGCACAGAACTACCTGGCGTTATTAGATACCCCAGTGCTAATTTGGAAAGCCCTGGCAATGTTTCGGATTGTGCGATCCAAAAACCTAGGGGATCGCTTTCCCACGACGTGAATGGAAGGCCTAAAAATAATTTTAGTTCTTGATTTTCATGCACTTCCACAATTGCCCGCGAATAGAAATATCAAAAATATATCTTTAAAATAAATCGATATTCGATAAATAAGTAGAATAAAATATTATGATAAAAATATTTATTTTTACTCAAAAATATTGATATATCGATATTTTGATATATTTTTCACATCCCTAGTGGCAGCTCTGCTTTCAGATTTTCGTATAAATAAAGGGCCCTCGGACATTCTTAGTCATTCGGTTTCGGCTCTCAAGTGAGCAACATCTTATTTGCTTTTTTATTTTTGTTTTGGTTTTTTTTTTTTTAATATTTATTTTGGTAAAGAAATAAATATGATAACAAATGTTGGCGGAAATCACCACGATTTTTCGTCTCTTTCGCCACTTTTCCGTCTCTTTTCCGTTCGGCAAAAGGCTGCAGAAAACGGTTAAAAATTTGATTTGATTTCTTTCATTGAAGAAGAATTGAATTGAATTGTTCAATGTTCAATTGGAATGTTGGAAAAAATTTGAATTGAATTTGATTTGAATTGGGCGCTGGTTTTAGTAAAATTAAACAAAACAAATTTGGAAAAATATTGTATATTATATTTATAATGTGTTTGTAGGGGGGCGTTGGTTCCGCAAAAGACTCCAGAAATGGGGATGAAATGAAAAGTCGGGGGCGTCTTCAGTAATTTACAAAAGAAGCGCGTTCAGCTTTATTGGCTGCGTACATCGAATTAATAACTTAACTTAGAAAGAAAACAAGGCAAAAGTAATAGAAAAAATACGATCGACGACGGCCGACGAAGGAGCGAGAGCGCAAAGAGGGGCGAGCGCGGGTGCGCTCTTCAGTGCTGGTGCGCTCTTCAGCGCGGGTGCGCTCTTAAAGTTGCGGCACACCGGCCCCTCACGTAAACATAATGTATTACTATTACTATTTACTATTACTATATTACTGTTACTATTACTAATTAAATAATACTTAATTAAAATTGGGCTGGGAAAAGGTAGGACTAGGAGGACGGGGAGGAGGATTAGGGGAGGGATTAGGGGGATGGAGGAGCCCTTCCCACAGGGCCCACAACTCCCTCATCTTGGGGCCGGGAGTGTACCGCACCCCCGCCACGCGGAGCATTTACCATGCTTTATATGCATGCCAAAGTTGCCCGTATTCTTCGTTAATGGGCACCACTGGCAGTGGTGCCCCTTCGCCTCTTGCAAGCAAATGTTGAAGTGGCTTTGGAGGGCCCTCTGACTCCTGAAATCATGGAAGCAGTATGGACACTGCTTCTCCTTAGTGATCCACACTCCCCCTTTGCCATCAATGTGCCAGGTGGGCACATTGGCATAGCGTAAATTCATCACAAGCTCCCGGGCATGTTGCACCAACACAACCTGCTTCGAAACTGGCGTGGCCGGCGGGGGCGTTACAACTGGGGGGGGCGGCGGGGGCGTTACAACTGGCGGGGGCGTTACAACTGGCGGGGGCGTTAAAACTGGCGGCGGCCGCATCCACACCAGCGGCGGCGGCCGCATCCACACCAGCGGCGGCGGCCGCATCCACACCAGCGGCGGCGGCGAGGACATTGAAACCTGCGTGGCCGGCGGGGGCGGCGGGGGCATCCGTTTTGGATCCTCCATTTTTACAGCTTTTGGAGTTTTTGGAGTATCCTCATCCTTGTTATTCATATGGATAGTCTGGGAACAAATAAATAACCAGTTAAAATATTCACTAAAATAATACTAAAATAATACTTACACCAAAGTTAAATATTTGAATTGACATCATTCAAGTTTTATGCACTTGACGGATGACCGGGAATGTCCTCCATAGTCCTTTAAACTTTTCTTACTTATGCGCGAGCACAGCGAGTTCCGCTCACCTACGTTACCCAAGCCAGAATGATTCTACTCTCCTCGATCATTACGCTCAACCCTGCTTTCGCAGCATTCTCTCTCTCTCGAGTCGAGCCTATATCGTTATCTCTTTTCATCTCACGACTTTCGGTAACTCGTCAACGGACCTCACTCATCAGCAGAGACTATCACCGTCTCTGCTGCTATGCCCTTCGCTTTCTGTACTTTCCTGAACTAACTGTTTCCCGACACACTTTTATGTTTTTTTATGTTATGTTATGTTTATGTTTAAACACTTGTTTATGTTTTGATTTCAATTTCAAATGTTCCGATACATCGATACTTGATTATCGATGAATCGATACTTGCAATTTTGATTGCAAATTACAGTTAAATTACTTACTAAGATACTTATGAAATACTTTCACCAAAGTTTATTATTTTAATCATGTTGATTTTTTAATTTACTTTTCAATTTAACCCTTTATATGGCAATAACTCCGATTTTCTTGATTTTTTTTGGCGAGAAAAGTAATCACCTGTTGAGTATTGGACAGAATTCTGAATGACCAACACTTGTTATATAAAAAACGAAAGTTGCTGAACTGCAGATATGAACTTTTTGGGGGTGACAGAGTGGAGGGAGGTGGAAGAGGGGCGTTTCATCAAAGCTCTTTTCTGGTGCTCTTCTTGCCACAGCCTCCACAAATCCTTCATAAATCCCATCGGAACGTATTTCTCCCCCTTAACCCCCATGCATTTATACTTCACATGCATCCCAAAGTTTGCGTTCACTTTAGAATGCGGGCACCAAGCCTTAAATGTCTTATACTTTGTATAACAGTATGGGCACTGGGCCCCCTTTGTTGTCCAAATTTTGTTATTGGCAACTTTGTGCCAATAAGCCTTCGTAATATTTACAATTTTTCCGGTTATTTCTGTCGACCACGGCACCGGCTCCTCCACAACCGGCTCCGGCACAAACGGCTCCTCCTCCATCGGCTTCGCCACCGGCTCCGGCACAAACGGCCCCTCCTCCATCGGCTTCGCCACCGGCTCCGGCACCGGCTTCGCCACAACCGGCTCCGGCACAACCGGCTCCGGCACAACCGGCTCCGGCACAAACGGCTCCTCCTCCATCGGCTCCGGCACCGGCTTCGCCACAACCGGCTCCGGCACAAACGGCTCCTCCTCCATCGGCTTCGCCACCGGCTCCGGCACCGGCTTCGCCACAACCGGCACAATCCGGGGACTTCTCCGTAGCCGGAGAACTGTCTTTTTTACAACCTAAAACATAATTTTTTTCATACTTAATCATTTTCAAACATTCGGAAAAACAAGAAAGGAAAGTTTAGTTGATATACCCTTGCAAACATCGTATAAAGTTGGCCGAGAATATGATAATATCGTTATAAATTTTATATCTGTACCAATCCGATCGATCGTTCAACTACTTACATTGCAATTATAATATTTTATGTACATATTTGTTTATAATAAATGATGAAATGAAATAAAATTATTACTTTTATTTATAGTGCTTCAATTTAGAGACCGATCCTTCGATGTTTTACCGATGTATCGATGTTTGAAAAAAAAACCCAACATCGATATAAACATCGATATTTTTGTTTAACATCGATGGTTGAATTGAAAATTTTCCAAATTTCCAAAAATCCCATTTTATGGAGAATTTTACTTATTGTTTATTTAATCTTTTATAAAAAATAAGCAAAATCATAAAATGTTTAAGCGATTAGAAACATTTGTTATTGTATTTCTTTATTTTTGTGCGTTGACAAAATATTTTTTTATTTTTTTCAGGCCTGACCTGCTCGCAGCAACCTATGCAGACGACACCGCCTTCCTTACCACCGCCGATAGCGCATTGGGGGCAGCCGATACGATGCAATTGCAGCTTGACTTGCTCAGCGACTGGCAAAAGCGATGGAACATTGCCGTCAATAACGAGAAGTCCACTGCCTCCACATTTTCTCTCTGCAAAGGCAACTGCCCTTCAGTTAACCTTAACGGCTCTCCAATCCCACAGGTAGACAATCCCAGGTACCTGGGATTCACCCTAGACAGGAGGCTCACCTGGAAGCCCCATCTGATTAAGAAGAGGAAACAGGCTATTCAAAGGCTTCGATCCTTCAACTGGCTTATGGGTAGGAGATCGAAGCTGAGAACTTCCACTAAACTCCTCATTTACAAGGCAATAATACGCCCTATCTGGACGTACGGCATACAGCTCTGGGGAACTGCGAGCAAGACGAATGTCCGAACTATGCAAGCTTTCGAAAATAGAGTCCTTCGAATCGCCACTGGGGCCCACGTCTATCATGACAATCGCACTATCCACGAGGTTCTCAATTTCCCTTGGGTCAAGGACGAGATACAAAGAAGCAGCGCACGTTACATGCAGAGGCTTCATAATCACCCGAACCGGTTGGCCAGCTCCCTGCTGGACAGCAGCGAGCAACCCAGAAGACTTAAAAGGACACACCCGCTGGACCTCCCCTTACTACTCTAATTTTTTTTTCTACCATATTAATATTTAAAAATATCTATACGTGAAGTTTACGTGATAAAATTTAATGGTTGTCCCTAATGGACAGTTTTAAATAAACATTACCCTGCTATTACAAAAAAAAAAAAAAAAAAAAAAATTTTTGTGCGTTTGAAAGACATACGATAGTATCGTATGTATGGACATATGATAGTATCGTTAATACATTGGCAACCCTATGTTTTTCCGCCTTGTTTACTGTGTGAAAAAGTTTAGAAAAATGGAGTTCGTGGCAAAGTTAAACGTTATTGAAGAAAACCTATCTGATATCGCAAAGATGTGGTTGGAAAATCGAAAGGAATCACTGAAGAAGGGACTCGTCAATATTCAGGGAAATCTACGGGCGATTATTGAGGAAGACGAGCCATTTTTTGTTCTCTTCGATGAGTTTAATTTGAAAAAAGTCAATGTAAGTATAAAAAATTTATATATATATATCATATACTAATTAATATATTTTTGCAGAATGCTCCAAGTAACATCAAAAGTTGGAAAATATTTTCAATTGCAGTTTCAGCTTCAATGGACCTTTGCAAATTGTTTATTTGCGAACGGTAATACAATAATTTCCTATTAATATATAAATGAAATTAACTTAATTTTTGTAGGCATCAAGTGGCATAGAGAAAATGGGATCCGCTGCCATTTTGGAAGGGGTGAAAATGGTATTGGGGAGCATTCGAAAAAGCCCCGAGGCTGCCACCAAATTGGCCGGTGCAGTGGCAGATAAATGCGCCGCCAATTTGGAGGCAATTCATTACCTCAATCAAAATGGAGTCCCAGTCCTTTATGATCTGCGGCACAATGAGAAAATTTGGATTTGTGGAGTTGTTCAATACAAGTTTGTATACAATCCCAACGTATACAAAGGAAAATTATAATGGATACCTCTTGGAGTCAAAACGGTTGGTGGAGGAGAATGTACCCCCAGAGTTGCAAGACCGATATACAGAGGAGGTAAGTTTCGCAAAAATTAATGAAACAATCATTTTATTTATTATTTTCATTACTTTTAGCGGCTTGCCCTTCAGTCCCTATTTGGGAATTTGTTTAGTACATTCCCAAATAGGACGTTCAAACTAACAATGTTGAACTCCAATCACCTGGAGGAAGTTGGTGCCAAGCTGGGCTACGATGTCCATGTGGGGGCGGAGGAGGGATTTGGAAAATATCCAACTGCACTTGCCGATCCCAAGGAGGCAGTTGCGTTTATGGCAACATTGAGCACTGTGCTTGTGCATAAACTGCACACTGTTTTTAAGAAAATGTAAGTATTTATATATTTATATTTTATTCATATTTTTAAAAAAACCTTTTTTCCCCAGGCGCATTGGACTGGCGGTGAGCATGTTTAAGGTGATAGAGGAGGCGAAGACGAACGAAGACAGCCAACAATTAAAGCCAACAATTCGCAAACATATACACACACTTTAGAGCAGATAGTATGCGAAAATTGCGGCTTATGTGAACAATAATTTTTGCAGAATTTCCAACCCGCGGCTTTTCCCATTTGATTTTTAATTTGGCTGCGGTCATGGACTCGATGACCGCAAATTTCTAATAACAATGTGTAATTACATAAATTAAATCTCTTTGTAGTGACTAGAGACAAAAATTCATAAATATTAAAGCCAATGATTTTGGTCCTTTTGTAAAAATTTCTTACCATTTGCGATGCCGTACGGGATTTCCTTGGCAATGGCGGGAAAAAATCGATCGAAAAGCTTAGTAAAGTGGATGGAAATCGATATGTAACCCATCTCTGATACTGATGGAAGTTCTGGAATCCAGATGAATAGGATCCATAGAAAGTATAGTCTGTAGAATTTTGTCAAAATTATTAAACAGGGATATTAAAAGGCTAAGTAGGCCTTGAAAAATCGTATACCCCCACGATTTGTGTTAATATTTTTCAGTTGCCGTCTGCCCACCCAAGGGATCGGGTCGCTACTTATTTTATTTAAATTTTTTATTTTGGTCTATTTTTTTTTTGTTATTCTTAAGTTTTTATTTTAATTTGGTCATTACTTATGAAATTTTATATTTGCTTAATCCGTGGTCCTTTGCTAGCTCTCTTTGTAGTCTTCTGTCGTCGACAGGCCCTTCTATTGTAATGAGAACCATTCCATACAAAATAGTTTTTTTTTTAATTCGAGTACGAATCCAGTGGGTCAGAATTTTAAATTACTTTTTAAATATCAGAAGATTAATGCGTACAAACATTTGTGATTTGGAAACTTTGAAAAACATCGATGTGGGTGGCACCTCGGCTTTCAGATTTTCGTATAAATAGAGGGCCCTCGGACCTTCCTAGTCATTCGGTTTCGGCTCTTAAGTCAGCAACATCTTATTTTCTTTTTTGTTTTAATTTTGGTTTTATTTAAATAATTATTTTAGTAAAGGAACAAATAGACATTTCTTCCTCGCTTTCCTTCTTCGTCTCGAGCTGGGCTTATTTTAGCATCTTCTGGATCTCATCCTGGGATGCATTGGTCGTCCAAGCATCCCTTTGGTCCTGGGATTCCTGCAGTTCATTTTTGTATTCCAAGTTCAAGTTTATTTTTATTTATTTGTATTTTTTTTTTAATTTTGTCATTACTTATGAAATTTTATATTTAATATTTGTTCAATTCTTTGTACCTAGCTTTCGTAGAAGCTAGCTTTCGTCGAAGTCTGAAGGACCTGTTGTAATGAGAAACATTCCATACAAAATAGAGATTTTTTATTTTTGTTTTTACTTATATTTTTTATTTTACGTAGTGAATTCTGACAAATGTTATCCTCATGTGATCGTTTATTTTTTTTTATTAAATTAATGACAGTGACATTAAATTAAATAGTTCTTTTTATTAAATATATTAAAAATTTGTTATTGTTTCTAAAAATTCAATTTTTGCAATATTTGTAACATTTGACTGTTAAGTCCTTTAACACTAACATTCATCTGTAAAATGTTTTACATTTTAACCGGTTCATTTTAAATCTGTTCTACTGTTAAATTTTAACAGCACCGCCTCAGCCTTCCGTTACATAGCTATTTTCTGTTCTTCAGAGCGGATACAATTTTATGCACATTAACAGTATTATGGCAAACCCCTTATGTTGTTTAACATAACGGATAAATGTTATAATAAACATAAAACAAAGCCTACTTTTATGGGCATGGTTTTTTGGAAAATGGTTCGAAAACGTTTTTAAAACAGAGGTCGGCACCCCAATACATTGATATTATTTTACCGCATTAGTGTTAGTAACGTATAGCAGAAAGTAGGCTTTGAGCATGACGTTTCACACATTTATACTGTGTGTGTGTGGCAGAGCTCGGGCAGAGAAATTTCCTATGCCCCCGAGATAGGGCCGTGCCGACCTCTGTTTTAAAATAGTGTAATTTGTTAATCAAATAATTTAATTAAATACATTTTTAAATTTAATGAAATTTTTTTTTTATGAAAAGACTTTTATAATCATAACTTGAAATGACTGTGTTGAAGAGGTCCTGACTCCTGGCTAACAGAAAACTGTTGCTTTCCTGCCAGTGGCTTATTGCTCTCAACTCGGCCCACCACCAGGCTCTGTGAGGGAAAACACGAACCGCAGGATAGCCACGAAGGCCTGAGCCAGAGCACTG